GGACTTGTTGTTTTATGTATACCATATTTTGGGAAATCAATACCCAGCATTACTAAGCATAGTATATACGTACCTATACAACTTACTTTATATGAACAACTGTCATTTCAGCATGCCTATGACAAACAATCTGCCATCGATGTTGAGATGTCGTGCAACATATTAGTTTAGTGACATATATCTTCTTTTCATCTAATATTTCTAATAACATATTTTTCTAATAGACTATGGTCAATGAATACCAACACATTCTTAGCTGACTAAAGCATATTTGTTCGAGTGATGAAGAATCATATGAAAACATTGATGATCCGAGCTTTCCTTTTTTCGTCAGTTTCTACCACACCATCATTCTAATTATATTCATAGTCGCCTCAATGAGAAGAGCAAATGAGCTGCACTGAACAATTTTATTCAACTCATAGTACTAAACTATTCATCTCGATCATTATTTATCACTCATACATCATTAGATTGACTGTCGCACATACATAACGAATAGATTTTAGATATATCATATTTCGTAGTCTTTATGTTGCAAGAAAATCTTAATCATATTTTTGTTTGATGGACAAGTTTCGAGGTTCCCGCAGAACAGTATTAGATAAGGGTAGTGTTCTTTTATATTTTTTGGCTAAATTAAACTACTATGCGCTTGTCTTTCGAATATTTTTTTTCTCTCATAGAAATAATGAACAGAAAAACATAATTCTTAAAAATTATCGCATGTTATTCGTATCATTATTTGAAAATTGACTCTCCATACATATATTAAAAAACTACTGAAGTAAAATCTAAATGTACAGTTCTGTTAGAAAGAAATTCCTCGATCTTTTGAGATATTATTCAATTTGATTGGATTGGCTTCTAGAAAAAAAAAACAGGAAAAAGCATGATCATTATTTTAGAACTTTATGACAGTACTTGCAATGTTTCTTTCATGACTATTCAGAAGACACTTAGAGAAAGCTAAAATTTTGAATTTATAGTTTTTTTTTGTACATGTTCTCTCATATGCGATCATAAGGAAGATAAGTCAAGACTTTTAATATGACAACTAAAACAAGAAAAAAATATAATTTCAATAATGCATTTGGTAAGAGTAAAAGAAAAGTATTTCCAAGATTCATCTGGAATTAGAATAGTTCAGCAATCGGAAGACGAGTAACTTTTCAATAATGTAAAACACAGTACTTTTTCAAGATCATTAGTGCGTAGAATATTTTTCATTTGCTTGGAATACTTAAAATTAGAAATACTGTAGAAAGTTTTTGTGCAATTAGTTTTGATTTTAAGCCAACTTAAGATATTCCTTCTGAATTTGGCTGTTTGATAGATAATAGCAAAATATTCCGAATACGTGGGCATATTAAGTATATTGTTCAGCCGATTTTATTAAGATTATAATTCTCATTTCGATGTATACTCTCAAATATGATCTATTCGATTGTGAAAAATTTTTACAGAAATATTGTCTGATAAAAAATAAAAGTTTATAGAAAAAACAAAATGAATGTTGACAAGTAAGGCTTGATTATCACCTCTAATAGCATAGTATAATAAACTGATATAATACTTGTTCATTCACAAAATCAAAATTGGTTTTATCGATACAGAAAATAAATATTTTATCAAGTATATTCTTTGTCAACTTTTGCTATAAGAACAGTCATTACTAATATAGTACAAGTTGTATGATGATCAACACTTTCAAGAATTGTTTTGTTTCATTTTGTATGATTAAAAACAGAGAATCATATGAAAAGAAAAAATTTATTTATACGATGATACGATATGATTGTATTAATTTTAATCATATTTTGCTTTTGTTATTGTTGATGATCGCTCGGAACACCATTTTTTTTTGAACCTGAGAAACTTAAAAAACGTTTTTCTTGTACAATGAGAAAAATCTCTTTAGTATATCAAGTCGATCACCAAATAGTTTTTATTGCTCAAAGTATTTATATATCAAATACCATGTAGTCTCGCGCATTCTAACAAAAAACAAAATAAATGCACGCATTATATGAGGTGATATAATATTTATATCATCTTCAAACATGCCTCACACTTTTTATATCATGTATCATTCAATGACATGCATGAATAATTCTGTTATTTTTCAAAGTATGATAACGATAGAAAATATCCTTATATATTTGACTATGTAGTTTTCCTTCTATTCTTCAGAAAAATGTCTCGTTCATCTAATTTTATACTGCCCTCTATCGAAAACTGAATTCTCTATTGGTTTTATCTATTCTTGAGTTAGAGGCATTAAATAAATAAGTAAAATAGACAACAATAACCGTATCAGCATTGTCACGTCATATTCGTCTTCGTCATTTTAATAGATCAAAGATCTCTTTTTTATTTAGAATTATCATCATGCATTCCTTATTGCTTATTATTATTATTCCATTATTAAGTCAATATCAAGTATTTTCTTCACCTGTTCTTCTTTGGAGCAATAAGTAAGTTTTTCTTTAAATTTATTTATATATCAATACATGATCTCTTATATCAAATAGAGATCTTCCTCAATCGGCTGTACCTCTTTCAAGATATTCTTCAATTGATTTTATTTCAAATTCTATTTGTAAAATTGACAGTAAACAAATTCAAGTTCATTTAATTGTTGTTGATCAAGTAAGTTAAACAAAAAAAAAATCTAGATAAGAAAATGATGAAAAGATAAAATATTTATTTTCTAGTTAACTAATCAAGATATTCAACGAGGTTTACAACGCAAACATCCAGTTTTACTTGATGCCAAAGTATAATAATAACCAATTTTCTTTTTTGTTCTATTGAATTTTTTTCTTTTAGAATGAAAAAAGTCAATTTCGTTATTTTCCTAATGTAGCTGATGATGTCTATGATACATTATCAAAACTTCCTCGTTCGAATAATATGCATTGTTCACACATTCATTTTCAAATTGCATCATTAAAAATATATGAAACATTAAAAGAAGGTTTGTCGAAATTTCATAAAAAAAGAAAATATTTTTCTTTTTTTTTTGTCAATTATTTTAGCATTAGACGCAATGCAATCACCAGTTGATAGTATTGGAACAAATTCAAATATGGTCATCGTCAAGGCATTAGTTGGTACTCCTGTTGTCGATCAAAGTTTGGTAAGAATAAGATATGATATAAAAGAAAACTCGAACAATTGTTCTGATAAGTTAGAATATTGAATTTTTTCTTCATAATTATTTATTTGGAAAACTAGTGTGCCCATTGAATTTTAACTGAGATGAATCGTCGATGAAAACATTCGTTCGATAGAAAACGTAATATTATTATTCAAGTGTTTATTTTTTTCTTCTTCAATCTATTCAGTACATTTCAAGAACTAAAACTTGAAAAACAAAAGAGATATTTTATTGAAAAAAGGAAAAAAACTCTTTCTCATCTTGGATATCGTATAAGAAAACGAATCCAAATGTTGAATGTCGTTCGATTTCATATTATGGCTACAAGTAGATCTTTATGAGATTAAGAAAAACCTACAAGAATTCGTGCCCATAACCTACGAATCATGAGCTTAAACAGACTCAATTATTCTATTCTCATAATGTTCTTGATTTTTCATTCATAGGATCTATAGATATGAACTCTTTTTAGTAGTCGCAGAAACTTATTTGTACATTAATATTGAAAACTACTTGACATTTTCTTATGTAATCATGCTATCAAAGAGAACCAAAATTTAAGAATAATTTTATTTTTTATTAATTAGAGTCGTCGACGTCGAGATATTGATATTACTGAAGACAATGTTCTTGTATCTGAAAATAGAACATGTATGTTCTATGCTAATGAATTATTTTGGGAAGAGCCTAATGAACGCGATCCTTCAGCTGGAAATTATACACTCGATTTAGATAGAAGTTCATGTACAACAGATGAAATAGTAACATCAAATGGAAATATGACTTCAGTCATGTATGGTTTTTTTTTTTTTGTTGAAAAAGAAACTTAAAAACATTTATTTTATCTTTATATTTAGTCTTGATTTATATTGGGATAATGGAATGAATGATACTATTCCAATGACGTATTTAAATTTCAATTTTTTATATAAAAGAAAAAAATATATTTTTCTTTTTAGTTTAATTGCAAATATAACTGAACGTTATTGGTATTTAGATACAGTAACAATGAATGGTTCTGAATATCGTTATTTTGCTTATGGTATGCATAGTCAAATGGAAACACCATCAACTTATTCATATGTATGTAAAACTGCAGTATTTGTTAAATATGATTCTGCAGGACATGGTTTATATGATTTTAAAAATAAATTCTTTTTAACAAATATACAAGTAAATGAAATATTAAATAAATGTTGAAATTTTTATTTTCTTTATATGTTTTTCAAGTTTCAACCATTTAATGCAGATGGTATAAAATTTGGTCTACCAAATTATTGTACATCATTTTTTACAAGTGGTATATGGATGGGTTTAACATCAACTTTACTTTGTTTAGGTATATTATTATTTGGTATATATCGTATGATGAGTATTAAATCGAATGATCGATTTGATGATCCAAAAGGAAAACCATTAATTATCAAAGCACAAGAATAAAATTATCTTTTTGGTGTTTGTTTCTTTTGTGTTTTTTTTTTCATTCGACGTATTGTGCAATAGAGATTTTATTGATATTTATTCAATTATTTAATTAATCATTTATTTTTCTTTTCCGTTGTATTGTGATGATAAATATTCGAATTATATCGGTGTTTTCTTTTTTTTTCTTGCAATATAAAATCTATATTTGTGTGTAATTAATTTTAGATTAATATTTTTATTTTTTCTAAAGAAAAAATCAATGTAGATTAAATTAATAATTGAAAATATTCAAGATAAAGTAGAAATTCTTCAAGATTTAAATATTGATTCATCGTCATAAATATCATCATGAATTGTTGATTATTATTTTACTAAATATTTATAATCAAATAATATAATTGGTTTTCATGATATGTGTATTATTTATCAACGAATTCAATCTTCATTATTAATTGAATTTTTTCAATTATATAAAAATAAATTAAAACAAATTAAAAATGATTTATTAGTTGAAAATTATAATAATTATTTAAATCGATATGATTCTATTGATATCATTGATATTTTTTATCAATTAAAATTAGAATCATCTATTGAAACAATTATTTTATCAATTAATAATATTAAAAATGATATTGATCGATTATTTTTTGAATATTTATTAGAATTATCATCACCATCATGTTGTATTTATGATGTCAAAACAAAATTGATAACAATAGAAACAAAAGAAAATTTATTTAAATTAATTAATACTAGAAAGATACCGGTTGAATCAACAAATAGAAAAGTTAGTTTTAATAAAAAACAAAATTGTTTTTCTTAACTAATTAAACCTCGTCGGCGTCAGCATCTATGTTAGCTTATATCATTAACTATACGAAGGCATTTCTATTTTAATCTTATCAGAAAAACAACTGTTTCTATTTACCTAAGATTACAAGAAATGATACTCGCAATGATGAAGGTTTCTGTACATCTTATAAATTGGAAAAATTGATAAAATAATCAATTTTACAGGTTTTTTTTTATTAGCAATAAATCAGTCACAATTTGTTTTTGCCATAAAATTCCAAAATAGAATGGTTTTTGTGTAGCATCTCAAACTATGACATTTAGAAAACTTAGAAAAAAAATAAGATAAGTGATAACAAGAATGTTTTGATGACTCTTTTTCTGTTAAAACTCAACTTCCGAACAAGTATTGTCGCCATTTTTAAATACGTTTATCATAGATACAAAAGCATATTGAAAATAATCTTTTATTGTATGGAAAGATTTTTAAAAATTCAAATTTTTGCATGAGTGTATTGTCAGAAGTTTTTGTATTAATAGAATTGCAACAGTTTTTGCTTCCCTATTTTTTAGTTCATGATGTGTAATGTATGTACTAGTATTTCCATTGTTTTTTTGACCATACAAGAAGGCACTGCTTGCACATATTCATGAGTATTCATATCTCTTGTTTTTCTCGAGAATCATATTTATGAGTTCATGACATCTAAAACCTTTAAGCTAATGTTTTGTTAGTGAAAATTATTTGGAAAGTAGAGAAAATCCACTAACACTTGATTAGTCTACTGGACAAACGATACAAAAAAATGAAGGCCTCCTCCCTCAAAAATCGATCTCAGCCCAGATACGTTCAAATGGCATGACATTTCTAAAATATGTTGATGCTGTAGTGGAGAGGCTTTGGTAAAATTTTCAGCTCGATACCATGACGTTTGACAGAGATATGCACCAAACAAGAATCACAAATAGCTCATTTGGCAAACACGATCTCTCTGTTCTGGCTCTTTCAATATATAAAATTCTTTTTTTGCTTAAAAGAGCATCTCAAGATGCAGCGCCTACCAGAGTCTTTTTTTTTTAATTCTTACTTTTTCAGCGAAGAAGAGAGATCACAAGTTCAATAACTCAAAAAATCCGCTAAAAATGGGTGCCAATTTACATAAGTGACTGTATATATAATAAAAAACAAGCTTAATTTAAAAAAAGGACTCTGGTAGGCACTGCATCTTGACATGCTCTTTCAAACAAAAAAAGATTTAAATACATCACATGGATCTGGACTGAGAAATTTGGGTTGCGCGTTTGACATATCATGAACTGAGAAAAAATGAAAAAGATTTTCGGTTTTTTCCAAAAACAGCTTATTTTTCAAATAGGGGATGACAGAAATCTTCAAAAATTTTTGTCGTTTATGAGAGATCAGATAACGGGCTATCTTTCCCCGTATTTATCTTAATTTTGATCATTCTGACGAAAAGTGACTTTTTTTGAGAGGGAGGCGTTAGAAACCTAAATGAATTATATATAGACGCGAGATGTTATCGATTACATAGTGATAAAAACCAAAGACATATTCGAAATGTGTAAATTAATACAAATCAAAAGTGAAAGTAGAGTCAATGCATCATCTAGAATAGACTAATTCATGATGAGTCTCATTAGATCTTTAATGATTTTCTACTTAATCAAACAAATCAATTATTTTTATACATAGAATTCTGTAAAACATACATTATGTACATATTTATCATTGTTGTTGGATATAGGTAATGAGCACGCACTTCTACAATGTCTTACAACACCAGCATACAATGGTATTGAATGTAACACAATTACTGAATTGAGACGTTTATCAAAGAATGAATGTTCATCAATATATCAAATTCTTCTTTCATTTCTTCGACGTAAAGAATTAATATTAAATCATATATCATCATCACAACTAGTTTTAATAAATAATGATGATAAATCATTTCATCTACTTGATAAATATTATATTGGTATAAAATAATTTTTTGATTTTATTGAACAATTACAAATGATAATTGAAGAGAATAAACATTCAAAAATTGAATCAATGTAAAAATAATTTTCTTACTTTCTCTTTCTCTAAAAGAAAAAAACGAGTCTTTTTCTCTTCTAGTATAATTTTTCGTAAATTATTAGGATTAATTTTAAAATAATTATGTAAAGATACATCAATTAATCAAAATGATTTAATAATAAAAGAAATTCTCGAAGAATTTTATCAATCTTTTCAAACAATACATTCATTTATGACTTGTACAACATCAATTCGAGTCTGTTGAAAATTATTATCTGAAAGTTTTCCAAGTGTATTTTTTTATTATTTCAGTCTGCATCATCTGATGCTACATTAGCTAATCGTCGCTTTCTTCAGTCAATCGCTTATTTATGTGCTAAACTAATAGTAGATTCACCTGTATTTATTGAAAATAATGATGATTGTGATATTTTATCAACTAAATTACTAACAACGATTTCTTGTCTTTTACGGTTTGTATATTTTGAATCGATAGTCTTTATTGATTATTTTCATTTAGAAATCCTTTGAGATTATCATAAAAATCAAACTATTCATTCAACAATGTTTGATAATAATCTTCAATTACAATCAATTAAAAAACGACAACCATGACAAGAAATTGATATAAATTTATTTAATCATGAAGAACGAAAAATTGAAAATGAAAAGAATCTTTATCAAAATTCAATAGGATAGATATTAGCAAATGATAATGATCAAGAAAATATACCAATAACAATAAAAAAAACGATCGATGACATCAACAAAAATTGAGTCACCTAATAAAAAACAAATGTTGAAATACCCGTAGTTGAACAATAAATGATTACTAGTTTTTTTTCAATCGATAAATTAATTTATCGAAAAACAAAAATTTATTTTCTTTCAATTCTGTTATTTAATTTTCCTATTTTTTTTGTTACTGTTAAATATTATATATTTGAAAATGTCAGATATACATTTAGATATGTTAAATGATATTAATCAGTTAAATATGTTTGATATTATCTATATATTTATATAGAATTAGGTAATTTATATTTTGATTCGTGCTATTTTCTTTTAATAGAAAAAAATTTCTTTTTTTCTTTATTATTGTTATTCTCTTTCTTTTCTTTATATCTCAAGTTCTGTTAACAAATACGAAGGTTATTTTTTGATATGTAAAAAAAAAAATAAAATAAAATAAAAGTTAAATTTGTAAAATATAAAAACAAACATTGAATTCTACTATTGATAAAAGGCTTTTAAGCTCAAGATTTGTTCACAAGTAGAATATCTATGTAACAGAAAAAGTTTAATAATATATGAGAACAAACTGTGATTTGGATGAGATATGAACTTTTTAACTATACTTTTTTTTGTAGCACTTCATTTCATCAGTGAATCAAAGCTAACAATTTGATAGTGATATTTTGAAAATAAAATTCTAAGCTGAAAAGTATTTTATTCACTGAAATGGTTCCTTAATAAGATAAGAATTATTTCGATAAGATATTATCAATATCTGGTATTTATTAATCATTTTGCCATTCGGATAAATAATACATAATGAAATCAGGCAAACAGTATTATTAGGATGAAAAAACAATATTTAGTTTTCTTGTTAATTTAACTTAATGATTATCGTAGAAGATTTTCATCGATTTTCAATCAGACTGTCGCTCTAAACTTATCAAATAAAGGATTTATTCGACAAAGTTATACATGGCAACATTTAGTATATTTACAATCAGAGAGTAACAAAACAACTTTGTTTCTTCAGTTCTTTATGCAGTTCCGACAAGTATCTTGGTGGGTCTTCAATCACCACTACCAATACTCACCTGAGTAGATTGAATTCGGCAGTTTTAATTGATTTCTAAAAGGCTGGCACTACTAAAATCTGTACTTTTGTCGACTTCATGTATCAAGTTAACAAAGTAGTAGCCTGCACATATTCAGGATGTTATATAAGAGATCTAATTCTAAATCATTGAACAAATCACCATCGTTGAGAACACCGAATATAAAGAACGATATTTAGGAAAATCGAATGTACTACATTTTTCATTTATAACTCAATAAACCATCAGTGAACATGAATGGTCATTAAAAAAGTGGCGCCATCATTCGTATTAACTCATATATCGGGTTAAAAGACACTATCAAAATCGAGTTAATTAATCATGATTTATGCGACATATTTTATATTAGCATGTAATTCTTATTAATATGTTCTTTAACCATATAAATTTCTCTTTTCCAATTGGTCTGTTTCTTTTGTGGTCTTTGTTAGAATCAGTCTGACTGACAATCGCTCATTTTTCACACTTTCGTTTTGTTTATTTTTGAATCGATTCTTCTTCATACAAATAAATATCTTATTCTATTTTAGAACGACTTGACGACATGCCTTCTCAGTTTAACATTGATGATTTTGAAAGACTGAGTAAAGTGGGAGAAGGTATACTAATGAATTTTTTTTTCATTTTTACAATAACTTTTGTAATTATTGTTTTTGTGTCAGGTACCTATGGTATTGTATATAAAGTGTGTCATCGACCAACATCACAAATATATGCATTAAAAAAAATTCGATTAGAAGGTGAAGATGATGGTGTACCGGCAACAGCTATTCGTGAAATATCTATTCTAAAAGAACTTCGACATCAAAATATTGTTCAGTAAGATTCAACAAGAAAATAAAACATTATTTAGAGAAAATTGTCTTCTGTTTTTTTTTCTTTCAAGACTTCGTGATGTTATTCTTACGGATGCTCGTCTTTATTTGATATTTGAATATTTGGCAATGGATTTAAAGAAATATTTAGATTGCTTAGGTGAAAATGAAGATATGGATATTGCATTAATTCGAGTAAGAATAGAAAATAATGTTAAACTAAGAAAAATTGTTATTCTTTATTGTATAGAGTTATATGTATCAAATAATTGATGCATTACTCTTTTGTCATTGTCGTCGAATAATTCATCGTGATTTAAAGTAAATATAAGTTATAATTAAAAATTTGTATAATGATTTTTTTTTTCTTGTTGTTGTTTCTAATTAGGCCACAAAATCTTCTTGTTGATACGAAAGGTATTATTAAACTAGCTGATTTTGGTTTAGCACGAGCATTCAGTGTACCATTAAGAATTTATACACATGAAGTAAAATAAAATAAGAATAGTTTTTATGACTAGAATTTAATCATATTTATTATTAGGTTGTTACATTGTGGTATCGAGCGCCTGAAGTATTGCTCGGTGCTTCACGTTATTCATGTCCAGGTATGAATAGATAATAGAATTTTCTTTTTTCTATTTAAAAAATCTTTGTTTATTTTCACATAGTTGATGTTTGGTCTGTTGGTTGTATTTTTGCTGAAATGTATACGAAACGACCATTATTTCAAGGTGATTCAGAAATTGATCAACTCTTTCGTATTTTCCGGTAAAAAAATTTTTTGTTTTAATAAAGAAAAAAAAAAGATTTTTCATTCTTTATTTTAGAACACTTGGTACACCAACAGATGAAACATGGCCAGGTGTTGTATCATTACCAGAATTTAAATCTTCATTTCCACGATGGAAACAAACGAATGATTTATCATCATTACTCAATGATCGAATGCGTGATGATGCACTTGATTTACTTCTTGTTCGTTGAAATTGTCTTTTTATTATCAAATTTGTTTTTTTCTTCTCTTTAACTTTCTAGAAAATGCTCGTCTATGATCCGATACGACGTATATCAGCCAAACAATGTCTTAATCATCCCTATTTCAAACAATTCGATCCACAAAATTTTCCTGTACCAGCACCTGTTGTTGTACCTGTTGTCAAAGAAGGAGCCAAGTAATATTAAATTTGTGTATGTATGTGCTGATTTTTACGTCAGATATATATATATATTTCCTTTTCCTAATTGATATATGTTCTGATACTTCTCTAAAAATCTTTTTCTTTTTCTATGTCTTCCATATATTGAAAAAAATCGTACATTTAATTGTTGACTTATCTGTTCATTTTTTTTTCTTTGTTCCACCATCGATCACACATATACTTTTTTTTTTTAATATGATGTGTGGACTTAACTATTCGTTCTCTTTCTTTTTCTTTTTTGTCACGCGTACGTATAACGTGAAAAAATAATGAATCTGTACAAAGAATGATAACATACAAAACATTTCACAGAAGAAATACATACGCATATATATTATGATTATTTCATTCTTTTCCTTTTTTTTTTTCTTTTTTTTATTTCTTCTCTATTGAATAATGAAATATGAATAATGAAGAATTTTTCTTTTTCTTTTCGTTTTATTTGATATTTGAATAGAACATAAATGATTCTTGTAAAGTTTAACGTGCAAGCAAATAATTGTAAACACACTGTTGACGACATTCCAAAAACAAACCGGGAGTGGCACTATATGATTGATAATCATATTGTTGAAGAATTGATAATTTAAAAAAATTTTCTTTCATACAATCCGATGAAGATAATGCTTTATTTTGAAAACATAACTCATTCATATTGTTTAATGTTATTCTATTACATTGTCGTTGTGTAATACTATGTGCAAATCCCTATAATAGACAAAAAACATTTATTATAAAAATCATCAATTTATTACATGTCAATAACTTACACATGCATAACATAATTGATGCTGTTCACATATTGTTTGAAATGGTCCTTGAAATAAAATATTTCCTTCGGATAACATACAACCAAGTTCTTTTACAGCATATACTGGTATACACTGATCAATATTCACTGAAGAAGATTTAGAACTTGTGATTTGATTTGATGTTGATTTTGATGGTCCATGATCTGTATAAATATAATAAGAAATTATGTCTTCAAATTTTTATAAACATGTTAAATAGTTTTATTTTGAATTTACCTATAGTATGTAAAGCTCGATCGTGAATATTATAACCGTTGCTAATAGAAATATGCATAAAGCACAAAGCGACGATTAGAAAAAAAATTTTAGCCATTTTATTTGTAATCATCATTAGAAAGAAAGATAGTTAGAATAATCGTATTTAAAATAATGGTAACAAGAATAATATAAAACTTGTAGATGATCAATAAATATTTCTTTCTTCTCGTTCTTGGTCTTCTTCATTTATTTTTTTGCTGTTATTTATAAGAAAAATTATCAAGAGAATTGAATAAATGCGTTAAGCATGAGTATCAGACAAAAATGAGACAATCAGGTACTAGATATTATCTAGGCCATCTAAATATCATAATATGGTTTTTATATTCATAAAATTCAATAAAAAAAGAATTTAATTGATAATATAGAATTATATAATTATTTATAAAAAAAAAATCATTTATTCGATGTATTCACGATATAGAAAAAGTACTTCAAAGTGATGATAATTTTTTTCTAATACAAGCTTGTTCATTATTATTTCTTTGTGTGTTCACATATTTTGAATATAATAATGAATTTAGAGTAATCTTCGATTCGGTTGAATCATGTATCCCCTACTTTTAGTATGGGATTCAGTCAATTGAGAATGTATTCTTTTGTTG